GGGAGAACTTATTATATGCAAAGGGGTAATATGTCCGTTCGAAAGATTTCTTTTAAAAGCATCAGGTTCATGTCACATTGGTTTATTTTTGGATAGCAACAGGAGTACAAACAATCAGAGGATTTTACATCCATTTCCCCAAAAAATAAACCAATGAGCCATGTGATTGATATTTAGCTGTAGCAGCTTCTGCATAATCCATATCAAACAGCCTCAAAATCCTTCTCTTACTTGCCTACTTATTATTTTTTATCTGTAAAGGTTTTAAATGTAACTCCTTAGGCTAGTGGGTTATTATTAGAGAACTTGTGCATGTGGCAAATTTGTAGTATATCTTATTTGGTAATTGTTTTAACAACCACTATGCAGGAACTGATAAGGGCACACATTCAAAAGGAAGACAGACATTTCTGCCTGAATCAGGTTATAAAGGATTATGGGCTCTGTGGCCCCTTGATCATTCTAATTAACACACACAGACGTGTCACAACCCCTAGCTACCAAAGCTGGGCAGATATCAACATCTGCACAAGTGGGATTAAATGAGTATGTGTTGTAAATTGATACTTTCTACTGGAAAGTTGGAGAAATAACGCCACAACGTGACCCTAAAAAATTCACTGGAAGGAAAAAAAAAACTGAAGCTTTTTGGGGGCAAGCGTTAGAGCAAAACAAAATATTCAGAGTTTAAGTTTGAAGAGAAATCAAAAGACAGAAAGAAGGCGCGAGTCAGAAAGCCTTCCACGGGGGAGTAGGAGACAGGAAGAGCGAGGAGTATTTAGGTCTCCTTAGTGCTGAGTTGCAGCCACTACTTGATTGGGCGCTTTGGGAGGAAATGGAAAAGCTCTCCAGCCAGGTGCTTATCTCTGACCAGAGCTTACAGAGTCAACCGAGCGCCAAACTGCTTCACCCTGGCCACAAGACACTCACAGGGTAACTTCCAATCAGCTTGTGAAGAGCAATGTCAAGGAAAGATATTTCCACCAAGCTAGTGTAACTTCCCTGTAGCAGATAATGTGCTTTCTAAACTTCTGTGTGAGTGTATTTGTGTTTCAAGCACCGTGAACTCCTATATCACCAAAAGTACCATCCATGCTACAAGGCAGAAAGATGACACTATATGTATGACATATCCTACGTAGACTAAATACGTAGATACAAATCATGAGAGGGGCAGGAGGTTGCAAGGGCTCTAAATGCTGAAGAAAAATTAGGACAGCACTTAAATATTGCTGTTTTATTGAAACTGATGGAAACAAATCAACAAATCAGGAATTCACGGATCAATAGGGCTAGACAAAGTGCTTGCTGTTCAACATCAGCATATTATTGCGGTCTTTTACAGAATCAGAATTGCCACGGGGAAATGTACGGTATTACAACAGCAGGACTATAGTGCAGATAAAGTAAAGAGAATAGACTTACATGTTAAATAAAAAGGTAGACACACATTATTAATGATACAAAAGCCAATAAGTAGAAACAAATAGCAGATAAATAAACCATGGTTAAAGTAAAGGGCATATTGCACAAAGTTTTGGATTTACAGGATTTCTTGGTTTAAAGTCTACTGCGCCGTTTTCTTTAAACAACTGCAGTAGATTTTGGTTATTTGCAATCCCATTATTTTTAAGATTTTCTGACAGTCTCACAGTGGGGCGACAGAGCAGGGGGGTAGCTGAACGGTTGGGGGTGATGCTGATAGTGAAAAAGAAAGGAAAAGGTAGGGTCCAGAGAGAATAGTGGGAAAAAAGGCAGATAGAGAGTGAGATAGAGCGGGCGGTACGCGGGGCTGCAGGCCTCTGTGTCCTGCAGGGGATTACAGATGGCCCTCAGAATTAAATCAAAACTGTGCTGACTGCCAAGGAATGGGCTCTGCGACACATCGGGTGCCACATGAGAGGGGGTGAGGCTGGCGCATGGGGAGGAGGCTGAAGGCGAGGGGCTGCAGCCATAGAGTGAAAATCGCCTTCAAATGAGTTTTTGAAATATCTAAAAATAAATTGCCTTTGAGAAGCTCAACAGACAGTTGATATGCGGGCTGGATGGGGGCCAAGTGAAAAGTTGTCCTCTCCCTCCATTTCTCCTCATCTCAGTCTCCTCGACACCTTGGCAGCGTTCGTTATCTCACGTCTCTTTCCCTTCCCTCTCGCTTCATAGACGCAGACACCGGCATGCATGCAGTACTGTACTAACACATGGGGTTAAAAAAGGCCACGTCTCATTTAGTGACCAATTAACAACAGTTACATTAGAAAATTAACAAAGCACCTTCTCCTGTCTGATGCTATTTATCTACAAAATACTGTACACTGGGATTCATTCCAAGGGCCCAGCAGATGGTAAGGTCTATTTTTAGAGCAAAATATTGAATAATGTATAATTGCCTCTTTCTGCTCTCCATTATTTTGCACATGCTGCGAATGATACAGTACATGCGGGGAGTATTAACAATGTACCTGCGGCACAAAGGGGATTGTTACTGTTAATAACCAAATTAACACCTTCATTTTCAGATGTGCCATCGGTATACACCTTGATAATGGGATATATTTGGAAAGTGATGAAGTTTGTGAACATTTACTTGTCTTTCACCTTGCGTCGTCTCATTTAGGGAGCCACAGTTAGATACTAGCATGTTTGAAGAGAGTCTGATGTGGCTATCTCCCTCACAGCCCTGTGGAGACTTACTTCTAAGGAAAGTGAAATGAAAATGTGGCATCTATAAAATGCAAATACACATGCAAATGAGTCAAGGGACATTATAAGATTGGGTTTTTAGAGCTCGCAGCTCACAACTTTCATAAAAACAGGCCTACCACAATGATTGAATAAAAAAGTGTTAAGCCTAGCTGAAATGTCAAGTGCACTGTAACATTCGTACTTTAAATATTTTCATCATCTGATCACTATTTCTCTATAAAAACTAATGGTAAGTGCAGGTAAGGACATGATTTCTCTTTGAATTATGCATTGTTTTTATCAGAGAAAACTGATTTGGCCATCTGTATGGTAATTCCTTACAGAAAACAAACCCAGATCGTACATCTACCCAACGACCGGATGTTTGATAACAGAATATGTGAAAGTGCTTCAAACCGAAATTGTCCCATTTGTTCAGATTTGTAAACACTTGGTTGTGCACACTCTGCTTATTCCTGAGGCACAACACAAAATGTAATTTCCCAGGGATTACTGTCTCTGTGTTATTATTTTCTTTTATCTTTTCATAGATGCTCTGTCGCTGAGGTATAAACTAGGTACTGCCAGGCCCAAACAAAAAATAATGAATCTCTGGAAGACAATTATTAAGCTTTATTGCTATATATGCAAAACAAACAATAATGTAGCTCCCATACAGCTTATCTTTAGTCTAAGCGTGTTAACATTACAGTTAATTTATTTTGTAATTACAAATATATTATATTTTATTTTGAAAAGTAACACATGCCTAATGCAAAAGCACACCTATAAGCCTTTACAGGGTTTATTATGAGCCAAATTGAATCCACTGCACAGAATCAAACCCAGCAGATGCTTCATGCTCCCCAGTAAATGCTGGTTAGTGACCTTCTCTGATAAAACATTAAAAAGTCATGCCATCAATAACTGGCCCTTTAGTACCCAAACTACTGGCATCACTCACTTAGCAAAACATTGAAATGATGCAATAAATGTGTCCTTTCTATAGCCTTTTTTTAACTAACTGCTTATGTTTGGTTGTTGTGCAACCTGAAATATGTCTCAAAACTGTAAGGAATGAGTTTTATGGTCGTAACTCTCCCCAGATAATCAGACTGAATTGCCATTTCATTTCACTTAAAGGGGACCTATCATGCAAAATGCACTTTTGTACGTCTTTTATACATGAATATGTGTCCCCGGTGTTCCAGGGAACTCACCAAGTGTCAGAAAACACAACCCTCTCTATTTTCCTCCATACCCAAATCTCTAAGAAAAAGGGGCTGCAACGGATCTGATACAGACTGATCCAGATTTGAACACTGTCCTGACGTCAGGACGGTGGCGCTACGGCTATTGGGCCAACTCTCCACCTATCAGGGGAATGTGGGGTTGGGCCACGGCCGGCCATTGCCGCTCGAAAGCGCTGGAGACGCTGTAGTACATATGCCAGGCCTGTAAGTGGCGCTGTAGTCTGCCACAAAAGCAGCGAAGAAGACTTCCCGCCCATACTGTAGTTACCATGGTTACCCTTCTGTTTATTCTCCGCTGTGGCTTTTTTTCTCCCTCCCCGAGGCAAGCGTTTGCAGCGGGAAATGCAATCCCTCCCCGTCGAGGCAAGCACTGTAATTCTCTCCGGTTAGTCCACCAGCAGATGACAAACACCCACCTCTCCGCCTCTTCCAAGGAACGAGGTGACCGTGCGGCAGAGTTTCAGTTTCAGTTACTTTCGCCGGTCAAGATGTCCGTTAAAGTTGAAATCTTCCGGACAAAATTAGAAAAGTGCCGGTCAAAGGTCTTCTTTGTTATTTATTGAGCTTTAAAACAAATGAATAACGACTCTATATAATAAAACACGGAGGACGGAGATCTCTTTTTCTCCCCCTCTTCTGACAGCCCAGCAGCTGATCAGAGCACGTCTCACCTCTCCTGCAGGGGGGCGTGGTCAGCAGAATCAGACCCGTAGACAGCAAACAGCACATAGAGCGAAATGAGGCATGGCTAAAATGCATGATCTGTTTGGTATTTTGAAAACAGAAACGTATAAATATACCTTCTATAGGTATGGCCCTACAATATATCATTTAAATATAGCATGATAGGTCCACTTTAATTATTTAAATTTGTTTTATCCATTTAAGACACTACATAAATCAGGCTTTGCAGAATGCAACATTGCTATCCTGTTGCTGTGTGTGGTTGTGGAGCTCATGATAAGCAGACTGTATACACCAACAAAATGAATATTTCCCAGAAAATGACTGCCAATCAAATTGATTTTGTAAATGAAACATTGCCATTAAAAAATAACCTCAGCCTCTTCGCATTAACTCTTTAATGAACACAATAAGATGGATGGGGGGTTTACTGATGGTCACTTTCCAAAGAGAATTTTTGGGCCTCAGTAGAAGACCCTCATCGCCCCCCTTCCACCGCTATGCTTCCTCTAGTAAAAACGAATTCTGCTCCTCTGGTGCAGCCAAGGAGCCCCGTCTCTCTCCCTCTGACCTGACAAATGGAGATGCTTCATTATTTGTTATTCACACTGACTAAATAAGCTGAGGACAGATTGCTGGGGATAGCAAAAGCAGAAATGTCTCTGCATGGGGACAGACTGAAATTCTGTGGAAAGCAGAGAATGATAAAGTGAGTTGGCATGAGAAGGTGTTGGTTTTTTGCCATGCAGGCTTCTGTTAGGTTGTTGCAGCTATGCTTTGCCCAATATTTAGCTAAGGCTGTCAAAAAGTCAGCCACTGTTGCTGTTTAAAAAGTTAAACTATAATATACAGTATATATAAATATATATTAATTTCAAGCACAATAACAGTACTCTGAGAGGCAATACAATACATCATTATAAAACAAATATCGTGTTAACTGACAACAAAGTTTGTTTTAAAAAAAACAATTAAATTGCAAAGTATTGGTTTCATGTGCTTATTATAGTACCCGCTTAGCTTGGTGAGCCTCTGTGGCCCTTGGGACTGAACAATGGAATCATTTACAAGAACAAGGTTTCACTTAATTGATATTGATAAGGATAGGGTGACAACAGAACACTAAAGGAGTCTCTTGTTAGAGTCTTTGATAAACAGACCACATCTAGGCAAGGCACCTTTGAGTATCTGTTAAAACTGTGATTTTCAAACACTGTGCCGTGAGAGATCGTCAGGTGTGCTGTGGGAAATTGTCCACTTTCGCTTAATTGGTCCAAAAAAATATTATTTATTTGCTGCGAAAAAAATCCAACAGTGTCATGGTCCCAAGCTAGAGAAAACCTCATCTCCAGACACCTGTCATTTCAAAACCACAACAATGACTGTATTGTTCGCCTGCGTAAACAAACTGGAAAACAGGTAACTTAGATGATAAAAAACAGAGAGAGAGCCCTCAAAGCGAGCTACTCATGAACAGACATGTAGCCAAATTGAGAGATGTGACAGTAATTATATATGCTGTATTGGCTTCAATGTGTCATTAAGTAACTTTTTTTGTATAATTGCATAATTTGTTGAGTGTAAAAAATGTACTGTGGCTAAAAAATGGTTGAAAAACACGGTGTTAAACATCACCAGATCATCGGCATCACAACCAGCCTGAGGATCTAAAATGACTGGGTGGGGAGGGGGTAGGGGAGACGATGGGGGCAGAAAATACCCAAATGGAATGCTTTTTGTCTGTCTGGGATGATGATGATGATGATGACATGAGGCATCGCTGGATCCGAGCAGTTTATGAGCCACTTTAAGCTGTTTCTTAATGCGCTCCACTTCAATGCGGCTCCCCAGTAAAATAGCCTATTAAAGCTGGTCATGAAGGCATGTCTTCCATCAAAATGCTCTCTTTTTGTGGTATTCGTCTGTGAGGGAGTTTCCCCCCCCTCAATAAATAGACAACAAAGAGTCATCCTATGCATATGCAAATAGATAGAAATCTTAATAAAATTGCAGAAGGCATCTTTCCACTTGCAACCTGTATTTGCGTTAAATAGACCTGTGGTTTACAAAATGTGGGATTTGGGCCATGGGGCTTTCCTCTCTTAAACCGAACGGAGATAAGAATTGTTTAGCACTGAGCCTCCTTCTTGGGATTAATTCTAACTTGAAAAGTGGGTAGCTAGATGCACGAACAGAAAGTAGGCCTACAATGGCCGCAAAGGAGACCCAGATCAACAATGTTCTCTAAAAACGAATGTATATTTTTCAAGGGCAGGACACAATTGCTCTAAACCCCTTTGGCACCATTTGGCACATCTGACAGCCAAAAAGAAAACTGATGTGTGGCAGTGCACGACACAGTGCTACCCTAATAACAAGATTAGCCCTTTTAATTGAGATTATTCCAGACTTGTTGGCATGTAGAGACGCCCACTGTCGCATCGACCGGTACATAGGCAGAGTGAGAACATCAAAAAGAGGAGAGTGACATGCTGTTTTCCAGTGGAGCCTTAGCAAGCCCAACAGCTGGGGAACATGTTGGGAGCGAGCACAGCCCCCTGTGAGGGAGACAAATAGGAAAAGGTCACTTATTTGGCATCTAACCACATAGGCTTCAGGGAGGTTACATAAAAGCAAACAAACCATGTTATCAACGCTACATATAAAACACAAATCTCAGCATTTGACATAGGTGTGGTGATGGTGGTAGACAGTGGCATCAGGAACCCGCGTCAAATGTAGTAAACCAAAAACCACTCAGTCTGTACAATTCATCACACAGGAAACAGGATTCATTCAAACACACTTGTGCCCTCTAGGCATAAGGAATGGAGACTAATATTGAGTCTAAGAAAGGACAGAGGATAAGCAACTTTAAAAATCATAAAATGTTTGGGTAGGAGGGCTCGTTTGACTCAGCTTGTTTGAGGTGCTCTTTGGACAAAGATAGATGTAGACACAAACATCTCAAGAAAACTCAAATCAACTCTCTTTTTAAACATTCATTATTGTAATGTCATGTAAGACCTAAAAACGGCATCAATCATTCATTGAGAATCCCTCCCAACATTGTGAGGAAAGATTCAAGAGGAAAACTTGTAGAAGAATAAGATATATGTAGAAGTCACTTAACTTAAATGTTATTGTGAGCCTGCAGTCATAGGCTAACATCTCACAGCCTATTCCAACGTTTTACTATCACAGATGCTTAGTGAGTTGTAATGTCTCGTACTCATGAGGGCAGAATGAGGGAATCCCACGCTGATGATCAATCTAACATGACCTTAGGCCCTGTCATAATATTCTCACAATATATCCAACACACAATGGCCACTGTCCACGAGTAATAAAAAAAACCAACACCATCTTAATTCCTCCAATTACATACACACAAACACACACCACCTCTGGCAGTGCAGCAGCAACATTAGTACCACATTACAACTGCATTTCTGAGACATTATGAATAAGCAGTGATTCACAGCAGCTGCATTCATTACGCAAACGTGATTAAAGTGGCGGACCCCGCAGGCATCCGGGGGCCTAATGATCCCACTCTGCCTTTTGTTATTCACGTTGGATGAGGGCACGCCACTAAGCAGCAGCCCTGGGTGTCTGCTTGCACCGAATGAGGCCTCATTAATAACGGCTATTCACAAACCCTGCGTTCATAGTTGGGTACCCAGCTATGGTGAATGAAAGAGAGGGAGCCCCCCGATGCCCGGGTCCACCCCTGGCGCAGATGGGTTTCCTCGCTGTCCTGCATGATGATGTCCACTTGTGTGTATGTGTGTGACAAGCTGACATATGCTACTGGGCATTCATGGCTGGCTGTTAAACTGGCCTCTTTGGATGCTCCATTCAGCCCCATCGGCACACTCTCCCTCCAGAGTGCAACAATGTACATATTTACATAATGCTCTCTAACGCAATAAAACAAATGAATACAGACCTCTGTGAGCTGGTAGGGGCGGCAGAGAAAATAAACCAGCCCACACTATTTGTACATTGTAGCTGCTTATTCTTAACACTAGCTAATGCAGTGTGTATAAGGTGAAGCATTGCAGCATACCTGCATTAAATGCTTCAACACTGCAAAAACTGATAAACAGGTCTACTCTCCTTTACATATATCTTGTGATTTAGAAACAATGTAACACAAGATTAAGATGGATGTGTGCCTCTATATTGTAACCTAATAAAAACAGTATGATTAAGGTTTAAATAGTTCCACTCCCACATAGTCCTACTCACAGGGATACATTAAATATGTGTTGTTGTGTTACTCTCCTGTCATCCCTTTAGAAAGAACCTGAACCATGGGAGTTTATGACTCGGCCTCAATCAAAAGACACAAACCAGATGAAGGAGATCTGAGACCATGAACCCATTAAACTCCAATTGATTGCTATTACGCTGTAACAAAGTTTTACAGTTTATGCTTCGTTGGGCTAGTTGAGCAATTAATTTATTGGCAAAATGACTGTTGTCACTGGAGAAGTTGTACGCAAATATACAACAACCAAAATTACTTCGGAGACCGATTTATACAGAAGGTTCAAATATATTTTAACATGATTATTATTTTGTCTCAACTGATCTCAAAAGTTCTTATTATTGACAGAAAATGTTTTCTCAGATATCAGAATTGAGGTGATCTGGTCAGTTAGTTCTGATTAGTGCAGTTAAACTGCCCATTTCTAATCTTGCTACACAGTGAGATTCAGAAATGGCAGAATCAACCTGTAATACAAATAGTGCTACAATATGCTTTATAATGTCTATTCAAACTTCCTGCGTTGAAAATACCTCCTGCTCTCTCGGCCCATCAGATAGATTCTGGTTCACCCTGCTGCTGACCATGCACTAAATTATTCAGTTGAAAATAAGTCCACATTAAATATGCATTGACTTGCAAGAGTAAGACACTGTAGAAACAAACTCCAGTGCTAAACATGAACAGTTTTTCATCTTCTAATTTTGATCAAGTGCTTTCAGAACCCAGGTGACAGTAACATTTACTGTGTATATTGACTTTTACTCAGAAACAAAGCATAAAACTAAAATAAAAAGAGAATGAGTCAAGTATCAAGCCACACGATATAGATCTAGCAAAGTGAAAGTTATAGCTCCATGAAGACAGGGAAGTTAGGCACACAATTTCTACATATTCAAATACAAGTGTGTATTCAAGAGCAGGTATGAGAAACACTCATCTATTTTGTCAGCAGAGAGAATTAAATCCCAGTTCACATACATTATATTAAATGAAAGCAAGTGTGTATATGCCTGCAGTCAGTGTCCAACAGGCTCGTTCCAGTGGTTTTTCCTAAGTAATATTTTAGTGTTCTTTTTTCTTCTTTCACATCATGCCTATGTGTCCTTCAAATGCTTGGCTGTCTGAAGTACAGGGCTGCACCTCAATAGAGGAGAACATGTATCAGAAGTATCATGGTGAAGATAAAGGTGCTACAGACACACTCTTCATGTGTGAAGGTTGCTGACAGGACCAGACTCTGACTTTGCTGACTCTGGACCTTCAGACCTCACATGGACCTGAGGGGGGGCAGA